ACACACAGAATCACACACACACAGAATCACACACACAGAGATGCACACACAGAGACACACAGAATCACACACACACAGACACACAGAATCACACACACACACAGATACACACACAGAGACACAAAGAATCATACACACACACAGATACACACACAGACACAGAATCACACACACACAGACACATAGAATCACACACACACACAGAGAATCACACACAGACACACACAGAGATACACACACACAGAATCACACACACACAGATACACACACAATCACACACAGACACACACACAGAGATACACACACACAGAATCACACACAGACACACACAGAGATACACACACACACAGAATCACACACAGACACACACAGAGATACACACACACACAGAATCACACACAGACACACACAGAGATACACACACACAGAACCACACACACACAGATACACACACAATCACACACAGACACACACAGAGATACACACACACACAGAATCACACACAGAATCTCACACACACACACACACACAGAATCACACACACACACACACAGAATCACACACAGAATCTCACACACACACAGACACACACACACACACAGAATCACACACAGACACACACAGAATCACACACAGAATCACACACAGAGATACACACACATACACACACAGAATCACACACACATANCACACACAGAATCACACACAGAGATACACACACATACACACACAGAATCACACACACATACACACAGAGATACACACACACACAGCATCACACACACACACAATCACACACAGACACGCACAATCACACACAGACACGCACAATCACACACAGACACGCACACACAGCAGGAGATTTAGAAACCCCTCTGGGGCCCAGCTGAGGGTAGGGGAACACACACCCACAACAGGAGAGTTAAAAGTCCCTATCTGGAGCCAAACTGAGGGCACAGCTGTGGATCTGCTCCCTTCAGCCTGCTGTGACTTCGGTTCCAAGTCCAGCAATGCCCTGAGCAGGGCTGAGGGACACCAGTGCCACCTGCTCTGAGAAATTCCCAGCTCCCTATAAAATGTGACTCTCTACATGCACCCTTGCAGCCATACTGCATTTAGGAGGTCAAACTCATCCCTGTGTTAGAGGAGAAAGAACTTTAAGCTAATCAGTCGTTTCTCTGGCAGACCCCTGCACAACAATGTGCTCTCCTGAGTCTTTCAGACTCAGCCCATGAAGAGCAGGTGAAGCCTCTTGAGCTGCAGGAAGTGTTCCTGGAAAAGCTCACTCAGGAGCAATAAGGATCCATTTCAAGGCTGTCCCTACTGAATACTCCATTATTTTCATTTATCTCACAGAGCATTTCTTGCAGCACTAAATCAAATAAATGCCCTGACCTTATAAACCCTCATTCACAGCTGGCAGTGGCTCCAGCAGGAATGCTGCACTTCCCTTCCCAGCACAGCCACAGCAGCTTTCCCAACAGGATTCAACTCCTATTTATCAAGCAGGCTGCTTGCAGAAAAGGCTGTCTTTCATTAGCTTAGTTAAATAATAATAAATGAGAAAGAAACTAATACTCCCAAGAGAAAATGTGAAATATAACACAGCACCTTTTAATCTTCCTTCCTCTTCCTGGAGAGTCCTGGTGATCCAACAGAAAGGAGCAGCAGGGAAAAATCTACAGCTAATCCCTAACTGATTGTACAGGTGGAAGATTAAATGACATGGAAAATGTTGTTGATTCTACTAATTCTTCAAATGATAGAGACTTCAGGAGATTCACAAATTCAGGAGAGCAACTTATATTTGGCTTTTCCTAAGGCAAGCAAACAGACTCTTCCTAAAATATACAGGGTTTCTTTTTTTTT